GGTCACTGGCGGCAATGCCTTTAGGCGCTGGCCATCGCGCCCATGTCGCTGTCGCCTGGTCCTCCCCTTTCTTCAGCTGCCTTGTCGAAGTCGGGCACTTCGTTGAAGGCCGCGTGCTTCGAGGTGCTGCCCCGGGGACGCTGCGTCGACCTTCTCCCGTGCTTCTTTAGCTTTGCAGGGTGCTGCTGGCCCATGATCATGGGCGAGAAGTCGTGCACCTGGCGGTGGTCCTGCAGCGCGGTGCGGCACGGGGCCACGACCTTGTCACGCGTGACCCTGCCTCGTCTCGATGCTTGCCACTGTGCTGTCCTCAAGTTGTGCCACGGCAGTTGGTCGCAACAGTTGGCCCATGCTGCCGTCGTCACCACCGGCAGGATGTGGCCCAGTCGATTTCTGGCCCTCCTTGTGGTCCTTAGCAGCAGCGCCCTGACATGGCCGAGGTCCTGTGTCACTGGCGACTCCCATGTCGGCTTCGGCGCCGTGGGCTCGAGCGGAAAAGCCTCCTCCGCCGCCTTCAGAACCTGGCCGTCGAGGTAGTCCGCGTGGTCGTTGGGGTGGACGTTCGCTGCCAGGTGCTGCACCTGGCCCATCAGCTCGTCGAACCCCACCTGGCAGGAGAACGCGGTGAGCTTGGTCTTGTCCACCTTGAGGCGCTGCCGCCTGGGCGGTCTTTCTCCCTCTAGGCCCTGTGAGAGCTGCACCTCCAAGTCCACCACTGCGTGGTCCCTGTGGGAGACCGCGAGCTCGATGTTTTCGTTGACCCCTTGACCGCCCACTTGCTGCAGCAGCTCTTGCGGTACCGCGATGTAGTCGATGTGCTTGCCGCCCTCGGCAGATCTGGCCCCCGACGGGGTCCAAGTAGCGTAGACGTCGTTCCTGGACTGGGCCAGCGTGAAGGGCAGGCAGGAGTCGGTGCGCTCGATATACTTGCGGAGGCAGGCCCCTGGGAGGTTCTCCTTCTGCGCGCCGTACTCTCCGATGCCGACCGTGGGGATCGACCCCACCTGAGCGTTGACGTCGACCAGGGAGAAGAGCCATGGGCTGGGGTCGGGCCTCTTGTCGACGACCCTTCGGGTGTGTTCCCACCAGTCCCTGATCTCCCCTGGGGGCCTGCGGCTGCGCGGGGCATGTCCAACTAGGATGTCGCAGTGGAGGAAGGGCGCCCTGATGCACACCAGCATGCGGGTCGGCCCCTTGTGCACGATCGCCACGTGCTGCTCCTGCAGGGCGGGGCCGCCCTCGCCCGGCCGGCCTGCCGCGTTGACCCACAGCGAGACCCCGAAGCGCCCGCCTTCCGCGGCGGCGGCGTGGAGCACCAGGTAGTGGCCCACTCTCACGACAGACTCGGCGGGGACCCTGGTCTCGAGCGTGCCGACCAGGTGGTAGCCCGCGTCCCCGAACTGCTGCGCGAGGGACTGCATCCTTCCTGGGATGAGGACACCTGTAAAGGCTTTCCCCTTGCTCACCCTGGATTTCCTGGGGTCGAGCGGCAGGACATTGGCCACAGCTAACCGTGGCTTCCGTGGCTTGCTGGGTTCCCCCCCCCTCCCCCCCTTTTGCCTCGGCCCTCCCCCTGCGAGCCGTTGTCACTCTGAGACAGGTGCTTCAGGAGGAAGCTCTGGAGGCCTTGGGGCGGGGCCTCGAGGTCAGGGACGGGGTGGCCTGGGAGCGGGCATTGAAGTCTCTCGGCCTGAGGGGCAACACTGGGCCACAGCCAGGGCGCCTGCGGCAGCACCTGCTCCATTCGCTCCCAGAGGTCGAAGCCGTCGGGCCACGCGATGATGCCGCCTCTGGCCAGCGTGGCGACGGCGTCGGCGAGCTCGTTGCACGGGTCCGCCATGTGGCCGCTGACGTGCGACCAGAGGATGTCCTCCGCGCTGTGCCTCAGCACCTTGACGATGCTGTCCAAGAAGCTGGCGTAAAGCGCGTAGTGCTCCAGCGCGGCTCCTCCTGTCCCGATGTCGACCACGTAGTTGTTGTCGGTGTAGAAGCTGATCACTGGCAGCTGCGTGTGCATGCCCGACTCGTCCACCGCCGTCTGGAGCTGCAAGAGCCAGAGGATCGCGGCAATCATCGCGCAGATCTCTGCGGTTCCTGACGGCTGGCTGAACTGGTCGCCCAGCGTCGGCATCGCATCCCCCATCGTGCCGATGAGCACGAACTCGTCGTCGTGCGTGTAGCCCATCACGACGAAGGCCCAGGCTGGCGGCCCAGGTAGATGGCCATGCGCGCTGCCGCCTGAGCCATTCGTGTAGATGAGCAGCGTCTCGAACAGGCTGGGACCAAAATCGCCCTGCAGACGCGAGCACTTGGAAAGTACTCCCTTGGTGGAACTGTGAAGGTACTGATCTCCATGCTCGACGAACCCCTTGTCGATGGAGATTGGTCATGCTGCCCGCAGCACGGCCATGGCGGCTGCTGCGTCTGGAATTGGCGTACACGCGCCACTCCTTGGCAGAGCCGCTGAAGGTGAGGATGAAGTGGCGGCGCTGTCTACCGGGCCACACCCCCCTGTCGCTTCCGTCGCCGCTGAAGACGGTAGCGGGGGCTGGCCCGGGTAAACTAGCCCAACGGCCGCCCGTTGGCGTCCAGCCGCTGCCCCACCCTGACGTCCCTCATGGCGTTCTCGTCGGCGGATGGCGTCGGGCACTGCTGCAGCTCCTGCAGTGGGGCGCGGGCGGCCGCCACTTCGACCACGACTGGGTCGCCGTTCTCGTCCTTCATGACCTTGACGGCTCCCTCCGCACTGTCCGTCGCTGCACCCCCTGACGGAAGGGCCAGCCTTCGTTGGCCCGGCGGCGGAGGCTCCGCAAACGCCTTGGCCGGGGACTTGGCACTCTTGCCTGCGCTCTTCTGGCTGGCGGGCAGCTTCCCACCACCTGGAACAGGGATGTCCTCCGCTACTGCGGCCTGCGGTGGTTGGCCTTGGAGGGGCTGCCCATTCAGCGCCGCAAGGATCTGCCCCAGCGTGTCCTGCATGGACCCCATCTGTGTCTCGAGCTTCGCCACGCGGTTCTGCTCTTGGGCCGTTCCCGCGTGTGACCATGCTGGCCTCACTGGCATCTGCTGCTGTCCCGACGAGCCTCCACCGTAGACATCGTCGTCGGCGTCCTCTATCTCCTCGTCGCTGTCGTCCGGCACCGCCGCCTCCCTGGCGAACTTGTGCGCGGCTGGCTCCGCAGCGGCGGGGGGGGGCCCTCCCTCTGGCGGGTAGGCGCACCAGTGCTCGAGTTGTGCCATCTGCGCCATGAACTCCTGCGCGTGCTGGTACTCCTTCAGGGCCTTGGCTGTCTCCGCCTGTACGCCTCTGCCGCCAGCTCCGCGGCGAACTGGGCGTCCTTGGCGGCCGTCAGCACCTTCTTGGCCTTGTTGACGAACTGCTCCTGCTTCTCCATGCGCGCGGTCGGGTCCTTAGCTAGGATGACCTGGCAGTGGAGTGCCGCGTACTCGTTCTCCGCCTGCTTAAGGCGCTGCGGGGAGACCTGCTCCGGCGGCATGCTGCGGATCGCCCGTGCCGCCTCTGCCGCCGCCACCATCGCTTTGCGCAAGGACTCCCTGTGGCGTTTGAGTCCTGCAGCGATCGGCGGGGCGGTCAGCCAGCTGGGGTGATGCTGCGCCTGCTTCGGCAGCATGGGCAGGATGCCGATGTTGCCCGAGGCAGCTGGTACTCCTGCTCCTGCATCACCGTGGTCTCCTGCCGCAGCTCCTCTCCGCTGACCACCTCTCTCTGCTGAAGCAGAGCGCTTCCTCCAAGGGGCTTGGCCTTGTCCTTCTGGCCTCCTCCTCCTCCCTTGGGCGCTCCGCAGCCTCTGCATGTCGTTCTCGACGCGAAGTTGTCCTGGCTGCACTTCACGAAGGAGCAGCGCCAGGTTGTCGTATGGCCTGTCGATCGCGACGATGCACGATCCCCAAGCGCCATCATGCCGCTGCTGTGGTGCCTGTCCAGGAGGCCGGCAGCCGCGCCGAGCCGCAGGAGCACGCGTGCGTTGGCACGCTCCTTGCGGCGGCGGCGGTGCCAGGCTGGATCCGAATTGGGGCCGCGCGGCGTGGCGGCGCCCTTGGTCGCGCGACCGCGGAGGTGTCGCAGGCCACTGTGGCCTGCACCCAAACACCTCGAGCAGGTCACGGCGACTGAGGGAGAAGGGAGGAGGGAGGAGGGAGGAGGCCTACAGCGGAGGTTGGTCGAACGGCGAGGAAACTGTGGCCTGCACCCAAAAGTGAGGAGGGGGAGGAGGGAGGAGGGAGGCGGAGGAGGGGGAGGGGGGAGGAGGGAGGAGGAGGAGGGAGGAGGGAGGAGGGGGAGGGAGGAGGAAGAGGGGAGGGAGGAGGGGGAGGGAGGAGGAGGGAGGAGAGGGAGGAGGGAGGAGGGAGGAGGAGGAGGAGGAGGAGGAGGAGGAGGGGGAGGAGGGAGGAGGCGGAGGAGGAGGAGGAGAGGAGGAGGAGGAGGAGTAGGAGAGGAAGGAGGAGGAGGAGGAGGAGGAGGAGGAGGAGGAGGAGGAGGAGGAGGAGGAGGAGGAGGAGGAGGGGGAGGGTCCTCATCCCGCATTCTTCTTGTACGGTATGCCTGTACCGCTCTTCGCCCATGGAATGCAGCTGGCTTCGGCCCCGCCGCCGGGCGCACTCCTCGCATGTGTGCCGAGCAGCGGCGAGGCGCCCCGGCTTGCCCACCCGGGCCGCCCGCGCAGATGCTGAGAACCCCTTTGGACCAAGATGGTCCGCCGCAGCCTCGCGTCGGGCGTGCCCCCCTCCAGGAGGGATATCCAAAGGCAGTCAACAAATGGCACGGGGGCGATCTTCCTGCCGTGCTCGGCCACTCTTGATTCTGGCTTGACTCTGTTTGATTTTGCCTCCAGAGTCCGCCTGTAGGAGGACCTGCCCGACCTGACCGTAGCCGTTTGGGCCCAGGCGGCCCGCCAGAGACCGTACCCGTTCCGTGGCCGGGCGGCGTTTCGCCGCGAAACGCCCCTCCCGCGCGCGCACGTGGGCGGCCGAGCCCGACGATGGCCCCCCTCCGGCTTGCCGCCGCGGCATGCGCCGCCAGTGGGCCCATCGCCGCGGCCCTCACGCTGTCGCCGCCGGCCCCGCGGGGCCTCGCCCGGGCGAGCGAGGAAAACCCGGTGGGAAGCCCGAGGCCCGCGGACCTCGCCGCCTGGGCCAACGGCCCTCGCACCGTGGAGGCGAGCACGCTCCACCACGCCGAGGTCCGGAGCCTCGTGGGCGACTACAACCTCAGCATCGCCGCGTACGGCCGCTGGGAGGACTCGATGGTGTCCGCCGAGCTCCTCGCGGGGAACGGGCGGTCGGGGGTTCAAGTGCTGGGGTCCTGAGGGAGGGGGTCTTGAGGACGATGTGCCTCAAAGGATGTGAAGCCACCCTTGGATCCCTTCCTGTGGAGGAGCAGGAGGAGGAGGAGGAGGAGGAGGAGGAGGAGGAGGTCAGGACCCCATCTTTGAACTACCGAGGTGGGAGACCCGGCACGTCAAGGAGCTGTGCCGCCTCTACCGCGAGAGCGGCGCCGTGGGCAACTTCCTCGACATCGGGGCCAACATCGGCACCTTCGCCATTCCTTTGGCGGACTGCCTCGGAGGCGGCGGACGAGTGCTCGCCGTGGAGGGGATGCCGCCCACCGCGGACCACCTCGTGGCAGGCATCTTGGACAGCAGGCTGAAGAACGTGGACGTGTACCCTTACGCCGTGGGCGCGTCCGGGGATCCGAGGACGGTGACCATGTCACTCAACCCTGTCAACAAGGGCGGCTCTGCCGTCAAGGGCAACAAGCCCTTCACCAACATGACCGACGACCAGTTGCAGGACTTGTTCCACCCGGGCAAGAAGGCACAGAAGTACGCCCAGAAGGTTGTGGTGAAGGAGTTCTCTGTACCTCTCACCACCGGTGACCATATGCTCTATCACAACCCAGCCATGAAGGCCATCGTGATCGCCAAGGTCGACATCGAGGGCTACGAGGGCAGGTTCATCCGAGGCTCCAATACCCTGTTTACCAAGTACCCCCCGTGCTTCATGACCATCGAGCTGATTCCGGAGTGGCTGGAGCGCGCTGGTACGCCAGCACAGGAGATTCTGGACCAGCTGACCGCCTGGGGCTACAAGGACGTCCCCACCCTCGCAGGGCTCATGAAGTCGAACGTCGAAGCCAAGACCCGGACAGTGGTGCAGAGGGACATGGCGAAGTGCCTGCAGCGCGTGAGGTCCTACGCCTCCCAGCAGTGAGCCAGGTAGTTGCGTTGAACCCTGGCTCCGGACTGAGTGGAGGCTCTCTCCTGGCAGCCTGTGACCCTCGTTTTGAATAGACCTTGTAAGAAGAGACACCGCTTGTGGTTTGCACAAAGTGTTGTTCAGACATGTCTGCCTGAATCCGTCGTGGGTCAAACGCCGGCTGCATGTTCTAAGATCATGGCTGTGTTATCGCACCGTTCTTTTGTTCTAAGGAGATCTCGTGGCAGGCGCATAGGAATGACGGGACGGTCAGTTCCTGCTCCAGTGTGGCCGCTTCGAGCGCTGGGAGGCGCTGGGAATTTCAGACGATCCGTTGACCGCGTCTTTCGGTTCTCCCCCCCCTATGTCATGGCGCCAACATCGCAGAGCGGATTCCGTTCGGAAAGCAGTGGGATGGGCCCGGATGGTCCTGGAGGATTTCGTTCCGGATTTCGGAGTGAGTTTCGTGCGGATGTTTGTTTTGGCCAGGAGCCAAGGTTGCAACGAAATCCACGTGATATTCGTTATGTTTTCGCTCGCCGTTTCGGGGTTCTGCATTGGCAGGATCCACGCAGAACTCCGCTGCAGCGCGTCTGCCAGGTGGTTGCAGTGACCTTTTTGGCCCGCCCCGCTCTTCGCGAGCGGCCCCCGCCTTCCGGGGGGAGGACGTCGCCGCGGGGCCACCATTGTCGGCCTTGCCTTTGGTCCAAAGGCAAGGCCGACAGCAGCCCGTGCCCGTGTGTCAGGCGATCGCAAACACGGATCAAGGGGGCGTGGAGTAGCGACGGGTCCCTTTTCCATGGGAAGTCGCAGATTTCCGCCGCCGAGCGAGGCGGCACCAGCCGCATTCTGGGGAGGGCACCGGGGACGATTTCGATACTATGTTTTACGATTGTTCGAGTTGGTCGACGATTCTTATTTTTCGTGCATAATCCGCCTGTGGGAGGACATGCCCGACCTGAGATTAGCGACGGGTTCCGTTTCCATGGGAAGCCGCGGATCTCCGCCGCCGAGCGAGGCGGCACCGGAATCCATGGATCGCCAGTCCACGTTTGCCGCCCCCGATGGGAGCAGGCTGGGGGTCTGAGGAGGGGGAGGGGGAGGAGGAGGAGGAGGAGGAGGAGGAGGAGGAGGAGGAGGAGGAGGAGGAGGAGGAGGAGGAGGGGGAGGAGGAGGAGGAGGGAATCCATGGATCGCTCGTCCACGTTTGCCGCCCCCGATGGGAGCAGGCTGGGGGTCCGAGGTGGCCCAGTACCGGCCAGCGGCGAGCAGGAAGGGTCGGGGGAGCGTAAGACCCGGGTTTGCCAGGACTCGGGTTCGCCATTTTTTTTTGACGACCGCGCCTCGGATTTTGACGAGCAGGAGTTTCGTGGGATGTCTGCAGCGGGAGGCCTCGTCAAAATGCAGGCTCGGCCTCGTCATTTTTTTGACGACCTCGTCGGGGATTTCCGAGTCCCCCGTACCCGGGTCTTACGTCTCCCCGAAAGGGTCGTGTAGGGGATCGACTACAGAATTGAGTTACCCCAGCAATAGCTTTCTCGTCGAATCTGTGAAACAAACACAGACTTCCCATTCTATTTACGAGCGCTCTACGTATTCGTCGTAGCTTCGAGGGGGAAGGTCAATTTTGGGGCAAACCAATTCTGTAGTCGATCCCCTGCTCGGAAGGGGGGTGCGAGGTCCGAGGCGCTGGGTTCGAGAAGATGCCTGCCCCCGGGGGGGGGTTCAGGCCCCGGGTCCGTCAGAGACGGATCCGGGGTGCAAGGTTCGACCAGGTGGAACCCAGGAGGGGTCCAGGGATTGGTTTTGAGAGGATGTGGCTTCATATCTTTTCCTGGCAGATTTTCTGTCGGCGGCGAGCGACGGGGGGAAGTGAGAAGAAGGAGGTGTTCTCAGATGGCTCGGACGTCCTCCGGCCTTCTAAGAAGTTTTCTGAGCCCTCGCCGAAGACACAGACAGAACTCTTCTCGGAAGGCCGGAGCGCTTCCGAGAAGTCCCGCCGCCTTCTGAGAAGGCCTTCTCTTTCTCGCTTCCCCCCCCGCTCGCCGCCGATTCTGGGGTCCCGACCTGTTTCGGGGAAACGTGAGACCCGAGTATGCCAGAACTCCGGTTTGCTGACGCTTATCTGATCGCGTCTTGGGTTTTGACGATCCAGTTGTCGTGAAATATTGCAGCGGGAGCTCGCGTCGAATTTCGGGCTGGGTCTCGTCCTTTCCATGATGGTCCCGCCAGGCCAATCCGAGTCCCCCGAACCCGAGTCTTCGAGCAGGGGATCGACGACAGAACTAACTTACCCAAAACCGATTCCCCCCCATCGAATCTACGACGGATGCGCAGATGGCATCTAAATCTACGGGGCATGCGATGCATTCGCCGTAGACTCGACGAGGCACTGAATGTTGGGGTAGCTCGATTCTGCAGTCGGTCCCCTGCTCGAAGTCTTACCTCTTCCCGCCAGCCCAGGCCCCTTGGCGGCCTTCAGACAGGACCCGCTCTCGCTGCCGCCGCGGGCGTGGTTCCCCTCGGGCCCCCGTTGCCTGCTTGGCCCCGCGGCCGCGGCCTGTTCTGCTGGGGCAGCGCTCTCTGCTGGGCGTCGTCTCCGCGTGCTCCGTCCTCGCGTCGGGCATCCAAGCGGACGACTCGGGTCGGAAACTGGAGCATACTTTTTTGATTCGCGGGTCGAGAGCGAGCCTCTTCCGGTCGAAGCTAAGCGGGCCGCGCACAGCTTTAATTAAGAGAGGAAGGGAAAAAGAAGGCGGGGCCTCATGTCAAGGCCAAGAGAGGGCAAAGCCCCAGGATCAGGCTGTGTTGAAAGCGAAGTGCATGCAAAGGAACGCCTTGGACAGGAATCCGGAGGCGAAGTACCCGGAGGCGGAAAGCTGGTCGAAATTGGAGCACACACTACCAGCTGCGGGCTGTTCGTCACTCCCAGGACTGCTTGACGGTCGGGGGCGACGTCGGGGTGGTGTGGTCTATGCTTCTTCCGATTCCCGGGGGACGGCGACACATGTATGCATTGGGATCAAGTGTACACCAGGATCCGCTTTGCTGTGCACGTGCCGGTGCAGTGCCAGAAAATGCGCCGGTGTGCAGAGTTTGGCTCCCCCCTAGCCCGGGCCCGGGGTTCTCGATCTCGTTCTCGTGCTCAGCCTTATGTCGGGCGTGTCCCCCATACAGGGGGGATTTTCGACGAAAAATTAAAAGTACTCGGAAAATACCCCAGAAAAATTCCAAAATGCTCAAACAATAGTCCCTGGATTATTTTTTGATTATATTTTGATTATTGTGGGAGCATTTTTTATTGTTCGTCGGGGGACAGGCCCGACTTGATCTTAGCGTTCTCGTGAGCTTTTGTTGCTCCTCCCCGGGGTATAGCGCTCGTTGCCGGGGCCAAACCCACCCCCATGCCCGGGCAGCGCTGACGATCGCGCGCGACGTCGGTGGCCTGGACCGCCCCCCCCCCCCTCACAGTCAGGAGGGAAAAAACACACAGACACGATGAATCGTCGATTCCCAGGAAAATATCGTTAAATACGGGAAGTGGGGGGGAAGACAGAAACCCTGAACGTGTTGGAAAATATTGGGAATCTCTGTATTTGTGTGTATTTATTTGTGTGTCCTGGGTCCCCTTCACACATGCTCTGGCGCACACTTGCGATTGATACGAGGGTGGCACGGGCGCACCCTGGCGGTTGCACGCCGCGGCCGCCATTACCGTTACCTTCCCACCCAAACCCCTCCCCCCCGGGTAACGACCGTTATGCGGGAAATAAGAAGAGCGGTCATTCCTTCCTCTCTCTGTTTGGTCCTCCTCCTCCTTCATCGATGCACCCGTGATTTCGCAGTGGACGTTGGGAACCACCGTGTTTCATTTGGGCAAGCGGGTGCTATCGCTCTCAAGCCAACCGTCTTCTAACACATCTTCTTCATGCTGCCCTCCAGCAGCCCAGAGGACGGGCGTCTGGAGTACGCGCACGTATTCAGTGTTCAGTGATCGGGTGCGCCGACGCCAGAGAGGGCACAGAGATAGGCGGCAAGAGGAGGAAGAGCGACGGATGGGAAGGGTCACGGCAGGATCGGCCCGCGTCACAGGGACCCGAGGGGAGGAAAGAGATGGGCAGCATCACCATAAGCCATGGGCCATGAGATCCCAGAAGCTCCCCGTGAGTGGGCATTGGCGTCGGCCTCGTCGCCGAGCCTATACAAGCGCACTGTCCATCCTCCACGCTCCAGCAGTTGCCCTCCGCTGGCACCCGGCCCCTCCTGTCACGGCGGCCCATTGCCTTCTGACATTCGCGGTTCTCCCCGCTGTACAGTCACCCCGCATAGAAAGGATGAGACATTTTCCAAGATTGCCCTTGCATCCTTGCCCTACTCGGCCCATCCTTAGCGACGTTCGCTGGCAAACCTCGTTCGGAAAACGTTGGTATGGCCCTTTAAGGCCCATGCAACCTTACCGCGCATTCTTCTTATACGGGTTGACCCTATCCGCTCTTTCGTTGCCAGTGGTCGCGGCATCTTTCTGGGATCGCCGCGCCATCGTGGGGAAGCGGGCCGAAAAGGCGCACTCGCCCAGCCCCGATCGCACGATGATTCCATGTGTTGGGATACTTGTATGCTCCGCCCAGCAGATTGCACAGCCCTCCAGGCGGGCGTCAGTGATCGGTGTCACCCCAGCGAACTAAGTGTATGCGTCGTGGCGGGCGCTTTTTGGCCACACCGCTCGTGAAGCGATACCGATAGGACCACCCTACGGGTGATAAGGAGGTTGGGGGGGAAGGGGGAGGCGTTGGATTTGCAATGGCTCTGAGTTCCTTGTTACTTTTTTGTTCAACTGTCCTACTTATCATTCGGCCTACAGATCGAACTATATATTCCCAATACCTCTCTCTCTCTCTCCCTCTCTCTCTATATGTATATCGATCTATCTGTCGATCGATATATATATATATACATATATATGTATACACATCCACGTATCCATTTATAGTGTATATATATATATATATATATAT